TATTTACCCAGAATGCTTTGTGTGTAAATAAAATGGCTCCGTCCGTATTAAAATATATTTTAAAAAATTTACAAAACTAAACAGCCTACAGTATTTTTACAGTCTTTATTTTACAGCTAAAATGTGTTTATTAAATCAAGTTTAATGTCACAGCTAATCGTGGATCCCTTTAAAAGTTTTATATCAGGTTCGACTTGTTCAAAACAGTAAATCTGCTGGATCAGAACGGGTAGAGAAACCATTCACCTTTACTGTACCATTTTACTAAATGTAACAAACAATGTAGTCATAAAATGACATTTTATTAAAAAAGCGAAACAAAAAAGAACAGGTGTTGATTTAAACATTTGATTGGAATTAATTTCTAACTTAAAACATTTACATCTATACAGGACTGTGGTTCAAAAGCAGCACCCCATATTTACCTCGGGAGGGKGTTCCAGTGCTAAAAGAAATTTTTCAAAAAGAAAAAAAAAAGATACAAAGAGGMACAACTGGGACTATTTGTTTCACGTAGTTCCAGCCAAGTTGTCATCAACACTATCTGTCCTGGTTCAGCTCCCGCCGGTCGTCTCTGCAGAGGTCAGTCCTCGTCGAAGCGGATGTGTTTGTGAGCCTCTTTGGTTCGGGCGATGATGATTTTTTCGGCTTTGGATATGAGCTGAAGGGACAAAAATCAAATGTGAGGGAACTTTAAAGTGCCCGTGACATCAAATTTTTGTCATAAATATGAATGTATTTTTTAACACTTTTTTAACACTGATAAAATATTGTAAGATAGATTTCACGCCGCCGAGATGAACGGTTGTTGAGATATTTGCATGTGAAGTAACAGGAAGTGATGTCAAAGGAGAATGTCTGCACGTAAACAGAGCGTTGCTTCAATGGCTAACAGACGCTACAGAAGAATCTGAGTTTTTCTTTTTTATTATTTTGAGTCTTTATCGGAGAGATGAAGGAGAGTTGGGATTCTAATAATACTGTTTCAATAAACAAAAAACCAGGAAGTTGTTTTTCTCAAAGCATTCCCCTTTGACATCACTTCCTGTTTCACTTTGTCTGAGCCAAATTCAAAAGAAAATATGCCAATTATGTAAAAAATTGAGTAAAATCAGGTGTATTATGTAAAGTTTCTTATATAGAGAGATATTTTCTTTGACTTTCTGTATTTGTAGGATGTGCATGTCTCAGGCTCTTTAATGGTGCTGGATTAAGAGTACAGAATTACTATTTGTCTTAATTGTAGCATCTTTTTTTAAATGTCGTGTCAGCACATTTGAACAAATTTCCCAAATATGTTTGGTTATATACAAGCACGGAATGGCAGATTCAGCCAGTGACCAGAAAAAAAGTGTTTTTTAGTCTGATCAATAATGAGATAATTGTTAAAAAGACAAAAACTAGATAACATTTTTTTTTCTGAGCAATTATTTTGACAAAAAAACCTGATTTCTTTTGTTTAAATTGATCTAAAAAGTCGATTAATATGTTGTTTTCCACATGTAAAAACATTTAAATACTCTGGATTGTGATTGTAAAAATGCTGGCTCAATTAATTTGTTTAAAAGAATAATAAAGAAATTATTTGTTAAAGAAATACGAAATTCTATAATTTGTATTTATAAGAGCTGCTTTTTAGGAGCTGAAGTTTTTGTTTTGTTATTGTTTGAACATTTGTTTGAAACTATTATTATAG